CCCCTTGAGGAGGCACTTCTCCTCAGGTCTCAGCACTTCAGGGGATGTTTGTCCCCAGAAACAGAGCTGACTTCAAATAACCAGATGTGCAGGTTTTCAGGAGGCCTGGAGCCAGTATCCCAAAGTAGGGACTTGGGAATATTTGGGTGCCCATTCCAACAGCTGCTGTAGAGTCAGCAATTCTACAGCTTTGGTCTGGGGTCCCCAGCAGCAACAGGAGCCTGGTGGGGGTTCCCCCAAGACAGGGGTGGCCCCAAACCCTGAGGCAGCTGAAGAAGGTGTGTGTCTTAATCCATCACAAGCCAGGAGACTCACGGAGACCCCTCGTCCCACCTGGCGGAGAAAGGCTAGCCTCTGCTCCAGGCAGCTCCTCTGGCTGGCCCACTGTTGTCCCCTCTCTGTCCCCGCTCCAGGCCAAGCCTGCCTGTGGGGGTCCCTCTGTCCCCAGGGCCGTGGGGCCTTCTGCTGGTCAACAAGCCAAGTGTGCTGGACCAAAAAGATGAGCCTCCAGATGTTTCCACAATTTGAGGAAAACAAATAAAATGTTCTGGACGGTCAGTGCCGTTTAGAGCTGTGGGAACAGTGATTTTGTGCAGCTGAAGTGACTCAAGAAGCCCCTTCCCTTCCTTCAGGGGCTTTGAGCTGAACCCATGAGCCTGGGACCCTCCGAGTGGCCCCTGCCCCGTCCCTGTGTCCTAACAACCATCTACGGGACTGACCACAAACCCGTCCAGTTCTCCGCAGGGCAAGCCATGCCTGCCATGCGAACGAGAGGCTGGGGCAGACAGCAATAATGGACGACAGCCCCAGCTGTCATATCTCCCTTCTCAGCCGGCCCTCCAGGGATCCCCTGCCTTCACCGGAGAAAGGGGAGTCATGTCTTCAAAGGGGCTGGTCAGGCGCAACCCCTGGCCCGCAGGGAGGGTGGCAAAGGGTGAGGGGAGGGAGGGCACCTGGAGGCCCTGGCAGCTCCCAGAAGCACGTGGGGTGAGCCAAGGAAGTAAAATGAAGGTACTTCCAGACCACACTCACCTTCCCTCCCAACCATGTGGAGAAACTCCCTCTGTAACAGGGGTGAACTGTGCTGTTTATCACCCAGAGCTGACAGGAACTGGCGCCCAGACCCCTCGAGGGGGAGCTCCATCCAAGTGGTTAAGGCCCCCCAGCCAACATCCTAAAACGCACACACAGATAGCTGGCCCTCCAGTGTCCCGGGCTCGGACTGGGGACTCGGCCGAGGCTGGGAAGCACCCCAGGACTGCTGCGGACACAGGGACCCAGCCACAGCACAGCGACCACAGGACCGAGGCCAGCAGGTCCCGGCCCTGAGCAGCCGCACACCCAGGCCGTAAGCCCAGACACCAAATCGCCTTCTCCTTCCTCCTCCTCCTCGGCCCAGCCCACATGCCACCCCGACCCCCAAGACCAGAGAGGCCCGGGCCTGGAAGGACCAGGAAGTGTTCTCGCTGTCTGAAAGGAAGCCCAAGGAGGGTGAATTCAGGGAAGTGCTGGTAGGGAATATCCCCAAATCCACAGCGACTTCCTTTCAAAGACACCCCCAGAACGACTCTTTCCGCCAGGTTCTCGACATCCCAGGATTAAAGAAGCGCTTTGCCTGCCTGCGCTGACCCAGCGCCCCCACCGCCCTTACCTCTGCAAGCTGCCCGTAGCAGACAGCATGTTGTCGGAACCTACAGGAAGGCAGGCAGTGGGCAGGTGGCGGGCGGCCCAGGCCAGACCTGCTGCCCTACCCTGGCTGGCAGCCCCAGGGCACAGGCACCGGACTGGGTGGGGCGCTGCGCAAAGTACACACCTGACTCCCAGAGAAGCTCACCTGCCTGCTCAAGTGTGAGGCCATGCCCTCCACCCTCACCCCAATCCGAGGGCTTAATGTTGGATTCTCAGAAAGAACCAGGCCTTCCCTGGGGCCCAGCTGGTGCCAGGGTGGGCACTGTTCCTTCCACGGGCCTCCCCTCCTGGTTCACAGTGGAAAGCCAGGGTCCCAGGAGGGCTTGCCCCGTGGGGCTGCCACCTGTCCCACCAGCCTCAGCCCAGGAGTCAGTCGGCCAGGGATGGGCTCAGAGGAAGCTGTGGGCACACAGAGGGTCCCTGGGTTTAGAACTCAGGACAAGATGCAAAGATTCGGTGTGAGGTGCAGGTTAGGTCTGTCAACAGCTCTGGGATGGACTTGGGAGCCCTTCTCCTTTTCCTTCTTCTTAAGATGTTGCTTCATCTTAGTAGAAAATTTAGCTATTTTTTACTCCTTGGGCTGGAAAAGAACTTTTAAAAGAGGACACCACTACTAGCCAGCAGTGAGACCCCTAAAACGACACAGGAAAACGAATGTGGGGTGAGAGGATGGCCATGTCCCAGGTTTCGGTTGAGTCCTGCCAAGTGTGGGTCCCTGGCTTCACGCAGGAAAGAATTCAAGAGGCAGCCACAGTTGAGTAAAGGCAGATTTATCCAGAGATACAAACTCCATAGACAGAGTGCAGGCTGTCTCAGAAGGCAAGAGAAAGGCCACAAGGTGTGGGGTTGGGTGCTCAGTAGGCACACACTCCATAGGCAGAGTGTGTGCATCCTACTCAGAAGGGAGAGAGGCCACGAGGGCAGGGTTGTTAGTTTTTATGGGCTCGGTACGTTACGTACTAATTATGTACTAACAAGTGGGAGGATCATTCCAGCTGCCCTGGGGAAGTGGCTGGGATTCCCAGGAACAGGGCCATCGCCCGCTCTTTGACATTTGATGGTCAGCCTCGGGACTGTCACTGGGTGGAGGTGCCATTTCCCAGGCTGATGTATTACAAGGAGCATATAATGCAGCTCAAGGTCACTGGGAGTCGAGTTTCCCGCCATCTGGGGCCTCAAGGCCTGTGGGGAGTTGAATCTTCCCCACCCCGCTATTACCCGCTGTTATTTCTTCTCTTTTTTTAAAAATGCTTTGGGGTCTTTTG